GAGAGAGAGAGAGACAGAGAGACAGAGAGAGTGGGAGAGGGAGCGAGAGCGCGAGAAAACAAGCTACTCCGCGATCTTAAAGAGCCTGAGCTGGTGTGAAGCATTAGGACCAAACCCGAGCCCTGCTTTAGTCTTCCTTATTTGTATTTCTTATACATGTGTTTTGAAGCCGTGACACAGATACGGGGCTTTTGTTGTTTTTTAGCTAAGGCTAAGTTGAAACTTGCTCCGATTACTCCTTTCCCACACACTTGCCATCTTCCAGTTTGAGGTGCATTACTGTAATTCCCAGTGTCAGCCTTACAGGTGTTCTTTGGGAACTGAATTCTGAAATCTTTCTGCAGTGTTGCCTTTGGGTGCCGTTGTAACAAGAGCCAGGCCCTGGGTGAGGCTCAGCCCCACCACCACCACCAGGCTCTGGGGCCTAGGCAAACCAGGTGACCTCCTGGCCTGTTTGCTCACCTCAGAGATTAAGGGGTGACCCCAGAGCCCCTCAGGGCCCCACTGTCTATAATTCCAGAGAAGAAGCATGTGCTTTGGACACGAGGCGCCCGGAGATGGGCTTACTTGGGAAGAATCCCCAGTTTATGTGTGAAAATGGAGTTGCGGGTGACCTATGAAACTCAGAAGGGTGGGTGGTTAAATGCCAATTTACGTTTGTCCAGTGAAGACATTCCATTGGACTTGATCACAGTTGCAACATAAAAATGAGTTAAAACGCTTTTTAAAAATTAACATTGGAAGAGAATTAACATTAGCGTTGTGAAATAGCATCTTGACAGGCATGTGCAGAATTTTTCAGAGAACACGTGATACCATTGGTCTGTAACATAATGAGCTTTGTTATCGTCAAGGAGATTCCATGCTGGTTTTTCTAGAAATTAGTTACTCTTATTTGATAAAATTTTAATAATTTTTCTTTATGTATTGAATACAGGTTTCAGTTTTATTTGGTATTGTTTTCAAATTTTGTCTCAGATTTGTTTTGTAAATGCATCATAAAACTCAATGGTACGAAAATAAAAAAAAACCTCAATGGTATAGTTATAACTACCAAAATTATTTGAAAAAATACATTTTATTAGGAAATGAACGTCTCCAGTTAACAACTAATTTATTCAGTCAAAATACTTCCCATTTTGTATTGGGTCAGTCAAAATACTTTCCATTTTGTATTGGAATGACTACAGTCATCTTCGAAGTGAGATACTTAAACAGATCTGTAATTTATTTTTTGTTTCAGAAGTAAACATGAATAATTTAACAAAGGAACATCAACATTTTAAAATTCGGCTCTTTTATTTATAAATGTGAACCTCCTTTAAAATAAATAAATAATAATACATTATCTCGTTGAGGTGGATAAAATAAAACCTGAGGGCTTCCTCAAGTGGTCTCTTAGCTTGTTGGCATCTTAGAGGCCTATCAAGCCCAATTCGTTCATTCAGAAACTGCTTATATCTAGCACCTTCCATGATCAAGGCAAGGCTCCTTCCACAGCAGGAGGCACACAGGTTTGAGCAGTCACCTCCTTCCTTCAAGGATCCCAATAGTAGAGATAAGATGTATGTAAAAATAGCCCCAAAGCAGTATGTTCTGGATTGGACAGCATACAAGACAGCTGAGTGTCATGGGGTTTAGGTGGAGGCTGAGCAGGAACCCACCTGGACAGCCCTGAGCTGCCTCTGGATACCTCACTGGACCTCCTAGTGCAGCCCAATACCTGTCTGTACAGACTCACCATCAGATCTCTTTTAGAAGGGCTGAAATGTCATATAAGTTAATAAATCTGTTTCATAATATTGTACGTAAGCATCAGCATCTTATTTTAAAATCCCTTCTTCAGGTTCTCCACAAAAAGCTTTTTAGCACATTAAGAAACTCCTTTTACTTTTGTCGATCTTCCAATGATAGCCATCCATTTTCACGCCTCCTGGTAGGCGATTTGGTCTATATTAGGAAGTAGAACACCGCAGCAGGAGCAAGGCGAGACCCATTCCCGTTCATCCTGGTGATGCGTCTCTTCCTCCGCAGCACAAATCTCTCCTTTCTGTGGGGAAGGAATGAGGTAGAAATTGCAGGCTGCCCTGGAGAGGATCACCCTGGAGTAAAGATCACATCTTGACTTTCCAGGACCTGAGATTTTCTCTCAGCCTCACCTCAGAGGGCCATTCTAGAGCAGTGTTGCCCAGTAGAACTTTCTGTGATGATGGGCGTGTTCAGTGAGTACCTGTGGCTGTGGAGAACTTGAACTGGGGCCATGCCACTGAGAAACTGAATTTTTCATTTCCTTTCAATTAATTTCAAGTTTAACAATGTCCATGTTGAACAGCACAGTTCTAGGCCAGAAAGCTACAATTAGACTGAGCTGCCCGGTGTTCCGAGTGAATGTGGGCTCTGAGGACTACCTCTGTGGGTCTTAAGTGAGGCCCTGGATGACCCCAGGGTCAACGAGCCCCTCCGTGCAATGACCTTTTAGCCTAGCCTGTCCTCTTCCTGCACCTATCATATCAGCTCTTCAGTGCTGTGGGAACCCCGGGGAAGCCTGCAGGGGAATGATGGGTTCTGGGGTGCTCACAGTGTGGAGTGGCCTGGGAAAGGTCACTGGAACTGGCCGGAGCTGTGCCTAGAAGGCTGTGTGGCCAAGGCAGCCCTGATTCCAGGGCTCAGCCAGCTGAGGGATTGGGGGGGGGGGAGCGGCTCCCCTGCGGATGAATAAGAGTACAGTAGAGCCACTTCATGGATGGCTGGGGGCCCTCAGCTACCCCCGCTCCCAGGATTCTACCCTCACAACTAAACTGGGCCCCTTGTCAGCGAGCATTGATTCGATCTTATCCACTTATTTTTCTGTTGGGAATGATTGACAAAGGGGAGAAAACCACCGTATTTTGTGACGTGTTTGGGGACCTTGTGGAAAAACAAGGCTGAAAGCTGTTTGTTCATTTGGAGGGGTTGGCAGCCAGAGGGTGAATGTTTGTTTGAGCAGAGCGCCCTGCCCGCCGCTAAAGAGTTAACTCGGAGAGCAGCTGACTGACGTCAGTCCTGATCTTTACACCCCTTCTCTTGAGCAATCTAGAGGCCTGTGCTCATTGGCCCTTGTCTGGATTTAGAGTGGGCAGACTTTTTTCAATTAAGTAAAAGGGCGGGGTTTGAGCAGCCAATGACAGCTACGCCCCAGCATATCTTGTGCAAGTTTGCTGGGCGGGCAGCATTCCCCACTCTTCACGCCGCCAGAACTTGCTCCAGTGGCGGGAAACAGCTGAGCACCGGCAGTCCCTGTCAGCATGCTCTGCCTGTGCCTGTATGTGCCACTCATGGGGGAGGCCCAGACCGAGTTCCAGTACTTTGAGTCCAAGGGGCTCCCCGCCGAGCTGAAGTCCATCTTCAAACTCAGTGTCTTTATCCCCTCCCAGGAGTTCTCCACCTTCCGCCAGTGGAAGCAGGTCTGTACGGGGTGCCATGCCAGGACGTGAAAGGCCGTGGGCATTTTATCAGTGTTTGTTGAGTGAATGGATGAGTGCTGGTAGGGGGACACGTGTGAAATCTGCAAGTTTTTTTCCCTACTTTTCTTGTGGCTTTAGCCGGCAAAAGGGCTACGTCACAAGAATGACTGGCATTCATGTGACTTCCAGGGAAGGCTGGAATTATAGGGAAGGCACTCGTGGGAGAGGTGGAAAGGAATTCTCTTGTTGGGGGGTGGGAGGGGGGTTCCTGAGAAGGGGGGTATAATCCAGCTGCTGCCAGGCTGTTTCTCTGAGGTTTCTCGTTGGAGGTCCAGGAGTTGGGACCTTAGCTACAGAGGCTGGATCTGGCAGGGCTTGACCTGGGTGAGACAGACCAATGTGCAAGGCGAGGGGAGCCTCCCAGACATCCCTTTGGAGCAGAAATCATTACCATTTTAAAGATGGGGAAACAGCTACAGACTGGGGGGGTTGCTTGCCTCCTAAAGGGGCACCCCAGCTTCTCTGTTAATCCGATCCCATGCTGTCCCCCCCAGTGCTCCTGATAGCAGATGAGGTCGTATGGTGTGCAGGCGATGGTGATTCGCATATCCTAGGAAGGAGACAGAAAGCCGGCCCAGTTGTCTGAGGCACAAGCAAGAACTTAGAGAATATTTTGAAATCAGCTGCAGTGAGCACATCCTTGGGTTGTCTGTATCACAGGGCACCCGCCCCAGTAAGGTGCATGCCTCGCGTTGGTGGCAGAACAACCAAATGCCCAAGAGCTTCGTGCCTACCATTCACCTCCTCCCTAAATGATATGTAGATTCTATTTCAGCTCCTGTCATAAATCTAGAGTGATAGCCCTATAGGTAATTTGTGTCATTCTTGGCTGAGAGCACAGATGCGTGCAGGAAGTTAACATCACTCCAGATAGTAGATAAAATACTTACCAGCATTGGTCTCACATTCCAGCCACACCCGCTATATTGTTCTTTGGATCATGTTAGGTATCTGCCCAGGCCTCCTCCTAGCAACCCTTGGTGGCTGAGCAGTGACAGAGAGCCATCATCAGGTGGTGCAGAGAGAGACTGATTGTAATCGTTGGTGAGCGCCAGCTAGCCAATGGTCCATCAATTTCCAAACCCACTGGCTCAGAAGACTTTGAAACCCATATTGGCTTGTGGACAGCGAATGGATTTCTCACTGAGAATTGCTCAACACAAGAAGACTATAACCATTTTCCTTAGGAGATTCTCAGCCCTAGTTTTGGGGTGTTGCTGAGTTGGAGTGACTCATGTGTGTCTCCCACCTTCTTGAGATTACCCTTTAGGGTGGCAGCAGGATCTTTAGGGAGGTGGCTCAGGCGTCCAGCCGGCTCAGCCTGAATCCCTCCCACCACTTCCCTAGCCGTGTGGCCTTGGATAAATGGCTTACCCTCTCTGAGCTTCTGTTTCCTTTTCTGTCAAGTGGGGGAAATGATAGTGCCTACCTCCTAGAGCTGTTTTTGCGTGGATTCAGCGGGTTGCTAAAAGTAACGCATTTAGCAGGACCCATCCATGGCTTGGAACCTCACTGTCAAGGAACAGGGTTTTTTCAAGCCTTCTTGGGCCACTAAAGTAAATAGAGCTGCCCTACTTCTCTGCTTGGTTGAGGGAGCTGAAGTCGCTTGTATCATCAGGCTCCCCTGAGATCAGAGATTGGCAGCGCCATCAAGCACATGCCCAAGAATAACTCCCTGTGGCTCCTACTGCATCCACCGGCCTCCAGAGTTCCCTCTGGCAGTGTTTCTGCCAAGCAGGCATTGGCAAGGGCCAGCTCTGCCCCATACCTTCACCCTGGCTACCCAGTTGTTCTTGGGCCACTGCCACTTGTAGGATTAAAAAGAGCAAGCTGCAGAGTTCCTGATGGAATGTGGCGCTCCAAGGCCATTCACACATTTGGGCATGAGCATGTGGGCTGAGGCCCGGCACCAGGGACAGCCTGCAGGGGAGCCAGGCAGCTGACCCTGGCAGTACAGCAAGTTGGTCTTGGGAATGTGCCAAGCCCGCCACTGTTGGCCTCTCTCTGCAGGGCTCCTCCAGGGGGGCCTCCCTTTTCCTCTTTGCCCTCGAGGGAAGCAGGGTGGGCTCTTGATTGGCTTGGGGATCTAAGTGGTGACTTCGGGAGTAGAGCAGGGGAAGTGTCTCGGCCATTGGGGCCACCTCTGTTCATGGGTTAGCACAGTTTCCTGGGGGAGGGTACAGCACAAGCTGGTGCCTGAGCTAAAGGAGGAAATCTTACTTTTGTTTCATAGAAAATTGTACAAGCTGGTGATAAAGACCTCGATGGGCAGCTAGACTTTGAAGAGTTCGTCCACTATCTCCAAGATCACGAGAAGAAACTGAGGCTGGTGTTCAAGAGTTTGGACAAAAAGAATGATGGTGAGCGTCGCCTCCAGAGCCAGGAGCAGGCCCACTCGTGGGTTTTCCGTGGGCCTGGCTCCTGGCTCACAGCCTCTGTTGTTACAGGGAGAATCGATGCTCAGGAGATCATGCAGTCCCTGCGGGACCTGGGCGTCAAGATATCTGAACAACAGGCAGAAAAAATTCTTAAGAGGTGAGTGCTTAGCCAGCCCCTGTATTTGGTTTAATGAAATACAGTGTGATGAAAGAAAGGTTCTTGGACTAACTCTGTGTTACCCTTCACTGCACTGACCATGTTCTCTGAACTCTGGCTTCTGGTAGTTTGAAGGGATGAATAAGTAACCCCTCCTCAGGCTCCAGGTCAGCTCTCGTTTGAAGAGTTACAGATCACTTGGAAATGTTCCAGTGCCCCACAAAGAGAAAAGGCTAGTTGGGGAGATTTCAAGTAGGTGAAAGGCAAGCGAGGAACACCCTTCTCTGCCTGGTCTTGACAGGGAAGGGACTCGCATGGCAGCACTCCACTTAAGGTGGATGTGAGAACGTAATCAATTAGATGTGCTGCCCAGCAGACGGGGTGAAGATGAGCGGTAGGCCTGGGGGATAGCACAGTTGTCGCTGGGCTGGGAAGTCATACAGAGTAGCCCCAGCAGCAGCGTCCTCTCCCTGCTGAGCCTCCCCACATCCCTGGGGCCCAGCAGCCTCCTGTGCCCGCTGCCGGGCTACTGCGTCCTCGTGCTGTGCTGTGTGTCTGTGTCACTAACATCCGCTCGGAGCACTTATTTGTGTTGTTTCTCCTCTCTCCTCTGCATCCTCCTTTGTCTGTCTGTCAGAATACGAACGGGCCACTTCTGGGGCCCTGTCACCTAGTAAGTATCCATGTCACCCTGGTGACCGCCTCCCTCCTTAACCTCTGTGCCTGGTCAGAACGGGGTTCCTGTGGACCGTTATATCCATTTTTGTACAAAGTGGGGTGTGGAGCCATCTTGCCTTCTGCGGGGCAGAGGCAGGCGCCTTCTGTGGTTTCCTCGATGGCCACACGCCTGCCCTCGGCTCACCTGGAGGTGGGAAGCACGGCTGACAGATGGGGCCTGTTTACATGTGGGCAACCATACCTTCCTCTTGCAGCATGGATAAAAACGGCACAATGACTATCGACTGGAACGAGTGGCGAGACTATCATCTTCTGCATCCTGTGGAAAACATCCCTGAGATCATCCTGTACTGGAAGCATTCCACGGTGAGCCACAAGGTCCCCTTCGCCCAGCATCCATCCCCATCCCGGGGCTGGGGCTGAGGGTCCTGGCTTGCCTCTGTTTCCCACATGCCGGCCCACCTGAACCCACCTGAAACACTGGGTTCCTCTGCCAGGGGTGCCCTCCATGCCCCCCGAGCTGCCTGTTCTTCAAGGCCCACTCCCACCCCTCCCTTGATCCCCCTTATTCTCCCAAAGCCAATGTGAGCCTTCCTGGCATGAGTGGGGGATGGGCAGTCGACAGAGAACAAATGGTACAGGTGTTAGGTTTCTCCCTCACCACCCCATTTTGTGTCCTTTCTCTCTCTGGCTAAAGAATACATTCCCACCATTGCATACCCACCATTTTTCACCCATCAAAGCTGTCATGGAAAAATACAGCTCTGCCCCCTCACTGGCAGTGGCCACATTGACACCCCACCTGCCCTCGAGCCCCCTTTGTGCTCGTCCTTGCTGAGCACCCCCTCGATTTTAGTCTTATTCACCCTAGACTGTCAGCTCTGGGAGGGGAAGCCAGAGGTGCTCCTCCTGGTCTGTCTCCCACAGTCCCCAGGCCAGGGCCTCACCCTCTGGGAACTCCTGGTGTCGTTGTTGGGTGAAATTAAGTGGAATGCCCCCAGGACAGGAGCAAGCTAAGCTGTGGGTCTGGCCTGCAGCCCCAGGGTTGGCGAGGAGCTGGCCCTGTCTGAGCAGCCAGGATGCCACCCAGAAGAGAAGGTCTTACGCAGGCCTTGCAGCCCTCTCATATTTGCTGAGGCCTTACACGTAATGTTCTGCCAGTGAGATCTGGTTACACATCAGGTTTCAGGAGAATTTTCACCCCTGACTTGATCCTTTCAGTACTGCCAGCCTGGTAATCCTCAGCTGAAATTGCCTTTGTAAGCTGTTTTTGCAGGAGCTCCCTGGCAGTAATTGAAAGGGCTGTCCACGTGGTTTTGTAACTGCTTTCTTCCAGCTGCGCTCTCAAATTTTATACCTGGGCCTCTCCAAGGCCGCAAACGGACCAGAGCTTTGTCACCTTCACTTAGTGAAAGGAAGGGGTTGCATCAGGTTTTCCCCCAGAGCCCTTGGCATTCTCACCACCTGTGTGATCCCTTGGCGTGTCAGCCATTCTAGATGGTAGAAGGCAATGGACCTAGCTGTCCGCCAGCAGCTTTGCCACAAGCATCAGAGCCTGCTTGTCTCATTTTTGTTGGTCTTCCTCGCAGATCTTTGATGTGGGTGAGAATCTGACAGTCCCTGATGAGTTCACCGTGGAGGAGAGGCAGACGGGAATGTGGTGGAGACACCTTGTGGCTGGAGGTGGGGCGGGGGCTGTATCCAGAACCTGCACGGCCCCGCTGGACAGACTCAAGGTGCTCATGCAGGTACGCCAGAAAACAGGCCCCACGCCTCCAGGGGTTCTTCGGTGGGTGGGTTTCCCCTCCCTTGTCTGCAGCCCATACTTTTCTATCCCAATAAATTAGATTGGAGTTATTGCTCAGACAAAGGTAGCATTAAACATGAGATCCAGGCCTGGGTAACCTTTTGCATATCGCTGATCTAATTTTATCCGAGGCCCTTAATCCAGGGGTCACATTACAGGGCCATAGTGTGAACAGGTGAAGCCAGTGAGAACTGGGGTGTGGCAGGAACCTTTCTTTAGGCACATCTCATATGAGGCGCCACCCCACCACATGGGTGGTATGAGCGAATGCTCACCTGAACCAGACACCATTGCCTTGGCCGGATGCCCGACTCCACGTCCATAGGGCAGAGATAAGCTAGACCAACGTCAGGGGCAGGGTTGCAAAATCAGTTTGCACAGGGATGTACTGTTGGACTTTAGCATCACCTGAACAGTGGCCAGTCACCCCTTTGTCACCTTGCCTGTATTCTGGCACTTTTTGAGCCAGGAGCCCTGCTCAGAAAAGACATCATCCTTTCCCTCCCCTCTTTGCGCTCCTGGGCCTGCCTTGTCCAAAGCCTGTGGACGGCTAATGTGAGCCCCCTTGTGCTGAAACAGGAAAGTGGAATGGTTCAGGGAGGAGAGCTGTAGGCCTGGGATCAGACCCTGTCCCACGCTCACAGCTATGTGACCTTGGGCAAGTCACCTGACTCCCAGGACTTCATTCCTCTGAGCCTAAGGCCTTGTCAGTTTGTTTCCTTCCTGGAATTCCCAGGAATTCTGTAGAGATTAAAAGCATTTCACTTGGGTAAAATGACACAATCCTTCCATGTAATTTAAAGTAATCCAGTGAGGGTGGGGCAGCCCCAGGACATGGTTTCATGATTGTTGAAGCTGATTGTAGGCTCATGGGAGCTCATTATATAATAATTCTTTGTACTGTTGTACGTGTTTGAAATTTTTCCATAATAAAAAGCTCCTTTTTCATAACTTTAAAAAGCAGTCCTTGTGGAGGTGTTTAGCACAGTGTTGGCATACAGCAGGTGCATGGTAAGATCTAGTTGGACTTAGAGTAGCCATGTTTGATTCTCATGGCCAGTGCTGAGTCAGTCTTCAGAATACGAGAGGGAAGAGCCTGCCTGCTGACCTTGACTGTGGGCCAGTGAGAAGAGGCTCTTTGTCGGATGATGGCAGCCCAGTGGCCGCTGAGTCCTTTCTGACCACATGTTCCTCCATCCTCAGGTCCACGCTTCTCGCAGCAACAACATGTGCATTGTGGGCGGCTTCACCCAGATGATTCGCGAGGGAGGGGCCAAGTCACTCTGGCGGGGCAACGGCATCAACGTCCTCAAAATTGCCCCTGAGTCGGCCATCAAATTCATGGCTTATGAGCAGGTGAGAACCCAGCTTTCCATGGAGAGTTGCAAATTGGCAGCTGCCTACTGCGCTTCCCCCTGGGTCGAGGTCTCTGCCCTGCTGATGTCCCAGTACCCTGAGCCAGCCATTGTCCCTGAGAGACAGCAGGGCAAGGTGGGATATGGGAGGCTTGGATCCAAACCCTGTTCTACTGCGATGTCCACTGTGGGCCAGTTCCTTCCATTTCTGGGGAGCATCATATGTGCCAGGGACACCAGGTCTCAGCTAAACCTGACTGGCTGCACGAGGAAGGGTGGGGCAGGGATGGGTGCGCTGGTCCCTGGGGTATATCGGTTTGTCTGCTTCCTGTTCTAGATCAAGCGTCTTGTTGGGAGTGACCAGGAGACTCTGAGGATTCATGAGAGACTTGTGGCAGGGTCCTTGGCAGGGGCCATCGCCCAGAGCAGCATCTATCCAATGGAGGTGAGGGGCTACCTTGGTGCTGGGGCAGGCAGCACATGTGGGGGTGAGGGTGGGCAGTGGGCCGTGCTCACACGTCTGTCGCTCCTGTTGGGTTCTGCAGGTTCTGAAGACCCGGATGGCCCTGCGCAAGACAGGCCAGTACTCGGGCATGCTGGACTGTGCCAGGAAGATCCTGGCCAGAGAGGGGATGACTGCCTTCTACAAAGGCTACGTTCCCAACATGCTGGGGATCATCCCCTACGCCGGGATAGACCTCGCTGTCTACGAGGTGAGGTCCCGAAGGCTCAGGCCCCTTGAACCTGGTGGGAGAGATTCGGAAACCCCCTCCTCACCATGCCCCCGCCTGCTGTCCCCCTGCCTGATAGACTCCTAGGGGTGGCTGGGACAGGGAACAGCACAGCACAAAGAGGGTGTCGTCCCAGACTCATCTATTCATTGCAAGGGTCTCCTGTCACATGGCCTGCCCTTGACAGCCCCCAGGTTCTGCCCCCCTCCCAGGGGTTCACTGGGCCTCCAGCAGACTGTAGACCACAGGCAGGAGTCAGGATGTTTGGGGCGGAGGGTGCTGACCCTACCTCATCCCTGTTCCCTGTCCCAGGAATCCCCAGTGACAGCAGAAACAAAGGGCAGGCAGGCCAGGAGCTCAGCCAGCCCAGCCCACGCGAGTCAGGTTACAGTGACGTCAGGGATCCCATGTGATGGGGATCCAGTAACTGTGTCCCCCCAGCACCTCCCTCCCCTAGCCTCTCAGTGCCTCACAAGCCCTTCCTGGGGCTCGAAGGCACTGAGGCTCACCCCTACCCTCCCTCCACTTCCAGACGCTCAAGAATGCCTGGCTACAGCGCTATGCAGTGAACAGTGCAGACCCTGGCGTGTTTGTGCTCCTGGCCTGTGGCACCATGTCCAGCACCTGTGGCCAGCTGGCCAGCTACCCACTGGCGCTGGTCAGGACCCGGATGCAGGCCCAAGGTAAGGCCGGTCCTAGGCCAGGCCCCAGGGGCCCTTCTTGCCGGGCAGGTCGGGATCCAGGGAGGAGCTTGCGAAAGGCCTCTGATCTGCGTCCTCTCTCCCTGCAGCCTCCATTGAGGGCGCTCCGGAGGTGACCATGAGCAGCCTCTTCAAACAGATCCTGCGGACCGAGGGGGCCTTTGGGCTGTACCGGGGGCTGGCCCCCAACTTCATGAAGGTGATCCCAGCTGTGAGCATCAGCTACGTGGTGTACGAGAACCTGAAGATCACCCTAGGCGTGCAGTCTTGGTGACGGGACAGAGGGCAGCCCTCCCCGCCTGGCGGACTCGTGGATCCTGGGCCTCCAAGGCCCAGGATGTGTAGCCATCTCATTCTGTGAATGTGCCAACACTAAGCTGACTTAAGCCAAGCTGTGAAAACCCTGGGACGCACCCACAAGGGAGGGGAGAAGAGCTGGCCGGTCTACCGGGTTTGTCCTGCTGACCCTGGCTGACCCTCGTGTCTGTTCCAGGGCAGACCCACGGGTATTCCTCGGGTCCGGGGACCAGCAGGACACAGGCTTATGCACAGTAGGGACAGGACGTTTCCTGTGGTGGCTGCCAAACAGCAGGGCTTAGAGGCCAGCTTAGCTCTTCCATCTCCTCCTCGCACCCAGAACATTGGCTGTGGGCCCCGCCCTCTGGCCTGTTGGGCATCTTCCCTGCGCCCACTTTGCTTCCTCACTGCTGTTTTAATGTAGTAGGAGGGCTGCCAGCCCACTCTCCACACCCCTTCTCACTCCTCTCCCCTCAGTCCATGGGGAGAGGTGGTCCACCACCCCGACTTCCTAACTTCCAGTGTCACCTCTGGCGAGGTTGTGCAGGAAAGAGGGAGGAGCCTCGCTTTGTGCTCACCTTCATCTGAGCTCACCGGCAGCTGGGCACCCGGATGTGCGAATGCATGCAGGGGCCCGGGCCCAGCCCCACCGCCGGCTGCCTGGTGTCCATGCATATGGCTTCCCAGAAGGCGAGTGTTGGTCCTGGAACCCAAAGGCCTCTGCCCTGTGCTGCTGGGGCACTCCTGGTGCTCTGAGCTGGCCCCGGACTCTGTCAGGACTGGTACCAGCTCAGAACTGCTCCCCTGTCCTCGCTTTGGCATGAGGACAGTGGGGCATGATGTAGCGGGCAGGGCAGTCTCTGCCCCATGTCTGTATGCCCTGGTGAGAAGAAAGAGGGGTTAAAGGCCTTGATTATGTATTGTTGAGAAAAGGGTTTTGTTTAGTAAGACAAGCTGGACAAATTTGCGAGTTCTGTGCTTCCAGAGGGAAGACAAGGAATAGATAGCTTGGCTGACTGCATCCAAGTCTGTTTCTGACGCCCCCGGAGATTTATGTCCAATCCCCATTGGGACAAAGTGGGACCAGCCTCACATTCCACTGATGCAACGTATCACACTGCTTGGAGCCTATTTATTTCGTATTTATTTGAACAGAGTTATGTCCTAACTATTTTTATAGATTTGTTTAATTACTAGCCTGTCATTTTCAAGTTCATTTTGTATTCATATTTATGTTCATGGTTGATTGTACCTTCCCAACACCCGAGAGGTGGGGTGAGAGGAAGGGGGCCATGGGAGCAACCCTCCCCACCACTGCCCGCCCCCATGTTACATCTGTCCAAAGACAGAAGAAAGGCAAGGGGGGAGGGGCCCTGATCTCGGAGAGCTGTCCTTTGGCAGGTTGGGGCAGGCGTGCACCCAGGAAGCTTAGGACCTGAGGGTTTGATTAGGGGCGGGAAGAGTGGGAGAAATCTCAAGTCCATTGAAGATGGAAGCCCAAATTCTTTCTTGGACTGGGAGGACTTCTTTATTTCACCCTTTTTGAATTACGAGGCAGCGAGGTGCCTATCACTGTGAGTTTGGGATGGGGCTAGAGGAGAGGGCAGCCAGCTCCCCGCCCCACCTGTGAAGTGGGCTCCCCCCTCCCAGCGCCCCCCCAACCTGCTGCCCCTGCTCAGTAATGCTGGTCAACCTGCAGCCTCACAGTTGTACTTCCATTCCACCAGAATGGCCCAATGAGGACAATTTAAATAGGATGCAAAGATCAATGCAAAAGTTATTCTTATATATGAATATAGTTATAACTGGAATTTGTGAAAAAGCAAATTGAGAAATTGGAAGCTGTCATTTAAAAGAGCCTTCTAATAAAGTTGTTTCAAAGCTGATGCACAGAGCCATGATTTTTGTGATCTGGGCTTGGGTGGTTTGTGTTTGGGGGTGAGGGCGGCACTCACATGCTAGAAAATGAACCCAATTTTCTCACAGAAAACGAGCAAGCCACTTCCTCTGGGCCTCTCGGCGACACTCCCTTCTTAGAACGCACATTCGTTGGATTTGGGGTGCTCTGACCAGGCCATAGTGCCCTGGGATTGCTGGGTCTGGTGGTGCCCCCTCAGCCCTGCTTGGGCAGACTCAGATGCTGGAGAGCCCCACGTGACATTTTTTATTTGCTTTCTACCTGTGTCCTCAGAAGATGAGGCCGCAGGGGGCAGGGCTGTGTTTCCTGTTGTAAACAGGCTGTGTTTGCACCTAAAACAGTGCCTAATGCACAAAGTACTCAGTAAAATGTTCATTAAGGGCCAGCTGAGTGGCTCAGTTGGTTAAGAGCTTGCGCAAGAGTGTGAGCTCTGAGCAACAGCGGTTCAAGTCCCAGCCCGAGCTGAGTAGCCGCTGAGCTGCCAACAGGTGGCAGGATGGCTCAGCTAAAAAAAAAAAAAAAATGTTCATTAAATGACTGTCCACACTCTAGTTCCCTAATAGCCCTGGGTGTCCTGGGTCCAGATGGTATGAAGCAGCTCAGGGAATCTGCCCAGGTCCTGGCATTCAGAGGCTATAGGGAGGCACAGAAGTGTGCCCATGGGTGAAACTGACATATACCACCTGTCCTGGGTTGAATAGTGTCGTGTCCCCCCTGAAATTCATGTCCACTGGGAACCTCAGAATGTTGCTTTGTTTGGAAACAAGGTTTTTGCAGATGTAATCCAGTTGAGGTCACATCAGATTAGGATGGGCCCTAATCCAATGACTGGTGTCATAGAGGAGGAAATTTTGGACACAGACACGCACAGAGACCCAGGGAGAATGCCATGTGACGACAGCAGCAGAGGTGGAGGGGTGCAGATACAGGTGAAGAAATGCCAGATCGCATGCTGGTAGCCACGTGAAGGGAGGAGAGAGGCAGGGAACAGCTTCTCCCTCAGACCCTCCAGAAGGAACCAACACTGCCAACACCTGGATTTCAGACTTCTGGCCTCCAGGACGATTAGAAATGAATTATTGTTTTTGGCCATTTGAGTTTGTGGTGAGTTGTCAGCCCTAGGAAGCTAATATCCCACTTGCTTCAGTTGTTTGTTATTGGGGTAACGGGCATAAATCACTTCCCAAACCATTGGGTTTTGGCAAATTGGCCCCCCCAACCCCGAAACTGCTCTCTCAGCCTGTCCAGGGTTACCCTTGGGACAGTGGCCTGGGTGCCCTCCCAGGTCCTCATTTCCATTCAGCTGGGAGAGGAACTTCTCCACACAGAAGTTAACCCTGGAAGGTGTTGGAAGGTGGCTGACGCGCGGAACCTTCCCAGCCTACCTTCGTCCGGTTCCCCTTGTTCTTTCATCCCTCTAGTCCAGCGGTTCTCAACCTTTCCCAGGGGTCACCTAAGACCATCGGAAAACACATATTTTCTATGGTCTTTGGAACCGAGACACCGCTCCTCTACCCGTCTCCAGGCCCACATGCAGATATGCCCACATACTAGTACCCGGCGACCCCTGTGAAAGGGTCGTTCGACCCCCAAAGGGGTCGCGACCCCGCTGCTCTAGTCTCTCCTCAAATGTCACCAAGGCCTTCCCTGATCGCCCTATTTAAAATGGCAGCCTGTTCCCTGACCTAACCCAGCCCATTCCTCATGCCATTTTATTTTTCAACCCAGCACTTTTCACCATCAACTCGACTGCTTGCTTTCAGTTCTTGGTTTATCTTGTTTCCCCCATCAGGGCAGGGTACGTGGCTTTCTTCACTGCTGCTCCCAGCAGGTGCTGGGCATCCACTCGGGGCTTAATAAATAGTTACTAGTCGAATGAAGTCCATCCAAACCCTTTAAGGTGTGGTAGGCAGAATTACACACACACACACACACACACACACACACACACACGCACGCACGCACGCACGCACGCACGCACGCGCGCGCGCGCAAGGACACCCTCTCCCTAATCCCCAGAACCTGCGAATTAGGTTACATGGCACAGGGGGTTAAGGTTGCAGATGGAATTAAGATTGCTAATCAGCTGACCTCAAAACAGGGAGATGATCCTGGGTTACCTGAGTGGCCCCAAAGAATCACAAGATCTTTCCATGTGGCAGAAGGAGACAGGGAAAAGGAGATGGTTCGAGAGGGACTCAGCCCCGAGGTGGCTGGCTTTGAAGACGGAGGAAGGAGCCACCAGTTAAGGAATGCAGGTGGCCTCGAGGAGCTGGAGAAGGCCAGGAACAGGCTCGGCCTTGGAGCCTCCAGAAGGAAGCAGCCCTGCTGACACCTGGATCCGAGCCCAGCGAGCCCCATTTCAGGCTTCCGACCTCCAGGTCTGCCTGGAAGGGCTGTTTGGGAAGTCAAATAAGACAGGAAATGGAAACGGCTGGTCCTTAATAAACAGTTTTATCTCCCAGCTCTGTCCCCATCCAGGATTCCAAACACACAGTGTAATTTCCGCCTGAATGCTTCTCATTCCAGCCTCCCAGTGAGGAGGCTCATTGCTGGCCTGGGCTCTCCAGCGTCTGAGAGGAAATCCAACCCGGAGGGTGGGTGGGGGGTCTTCGCCCTCTTTCCTGAAGCTAGGCCCTTTCATCGCTAAGTGCTGAGAGGGACATTTACTGAGCACCAGATGGGGCTCTGCCCACACAGGACGCCATGTAGCCCTCAGCAGTTCTACAAGGTACTGCTGCAGCAGTCTCCATTTCACAGACGTGGAAACGAAGGCTCCGGAAAGGGAAGGGACTTGTCTAGGACCTCACCATAAGTAAGGTGGCCCCCTGGTGTGCTGCATGCGTGGGGGTGAAATAGGGTGCGCTGTGCTGGGGCTGGAAGCAAGCCATGACCCACTCATGAGGACCTTCAGGGAGAGGCAACAGGTCCCTGTCTGCTCTCGTGGTCCAGGAGGCCAGAGAGAACCTGGGAGATGTGGGGCAGGCCTCTGCTTGAATCCCGGCACCAGACAGTGTGATCTCAGGCCAGTCTCATGCCTCTCTGCGCCTCCGTTTTCTCACAAGCAAGACGGGCACAGTGCCTTCCTTCAGCTCAGAGGGGAAGGACTCGTCCAGGTTCATACAAGGTAAATGCTGAGCTGGGACTCAAACCAGCTTTGCTGATTCTGAGGCCATGTTCTCACCTTTGGTTCTCGGCTGGGCTGCCCTTGGTCCTGATCTCACCGGTCCGATCAGGTTAGAATGTAGGGGAAGGGTGAGAGGAGGAGCCAGTCGCATGCTGGACCCAGCTGCCCACGTGTGGACCTTGGTCGCTGGCCTCCAGGGCTGACAAGGAAGCTGAAGTGCAGCGAGGTCCGCTCACAGTGGCTGGAGAGGTCACCCAGGGCTGCATGGCGGGGCCAGCAGGAGGGGAGCGATGGAGGAGGTCAGAAGGAACCAAGAATGAGGAAACTGAGGCCAAGGAGAGCCAGAGGCCTGCCCCAGTCCCCTTAGGGAGTAAGAGAAACCTAGGCCTCCCGCTCTCGGCTTCCCATAACACAGAGGTGGGCGGGCAGGGTAGTGGCCACAAAGACATGATCTCTTTTGGCCATCGGCTGTCGCCCATCAGCACAGCCCCTGTGGCCCGGGAGGCACCATCATCTCCCCACAGCAGTTCTGGAGGCTGATGGGAGAAGGCACTGGCTCCACCCACGCCCACCAGGTGGGGCACCTCTGCTGCACCGAAGAGCCCAACCCCCACCCCCTCATTTTGCAGAGGAGGTCGCTGACACAGGGCAAGGGACTTGCCCAAGGTCCGCGCAGCAGCTTCTCTTCTCTGACTGCGCGGGCTCATGCCATTCGTATTCGTTTCCTATGGCTGCTGTTACAAATTGCCACAAACTTGGTGTCTTAAAACAACACACATGTATTCTCTTGCCGTTCTAGACGCCCGAAGTCCAAAATCAACTTCCTGGGCTGAAATCAAGGTGTTGGCAGGACTGGTTCCTTCTGGAGGCTCTGTCGGGAGCCCATGACCCGCCTCTCCCGGCTTCTGGAGGCCACCTGCATTCCTTGGCGTGCGACCTCTCCCTCCCATGTCTCCAAGCTCTTGCTTCCATTGTCCTGTCCCCTCTTCTCTAGTCAAATCTCGCTCTTCTCAGGACACTTGTGATTACATTTAGGGCCCACCTGAGTAATCCAGGAAACACACACACTACATGTAGGCAACATCAGAAATGAGCTAGAAGGCTGGATTCCGAAAAAGCTTTAGGTGGTTGTATCTATGAGTGGTGGGACGGTGAATAATTGGTGTCATCTTTTTGCTTATCTGCCAGTTACATTTATGTACAACAAACATCAATTATTTGCATAATCAAGGTGAAATTTAAAAATGTAACAATCTAACCAAAACGAACCAGAATCCTCCTGATTCTTGAAGCCCTCCTGACTCCCAGGGAGGAGGGGGCTCGCCTTTCTCGTGATTCCCTTCCCTTCTTACTTCCTGGAGCTCCTGACCGTGAGCTCTGGAAGACCAGCTGGAAACAGGGCAGGGAGTGTGTTCTGAGAACAGACAGCACACCCGCCCCTCATATGTTGACTGGGCACATCGACTCTGTGCAATCTTCTCATCCCTGATGGTACTAATCCCATGGAGGTTAACTGACCTCCAAGGGCTGGCCCAAGGATGAGCAAGGATGGGGTTTGCCCAAGGTCACAGCAGGCAATGCAGGGTTCCCACCTCAGGCCTTCTGCCACCATCAAGGCCATAGGGGACATGCCATGACCTGAGTATAACCAAGATGGGGCAGGGGGTACTGGCATGAGGTCCTTTTCCCTAAGAGGTGTGGCTTTTCTTACCTGCCCATCTTCAAACCCTTGCATGCCAAACCCACTTTACCGATGGGCAAATAGAGTCCCCAAGTAATGAAGACGGCCCAGAGGAGATGCAATTCCAGAGTTGACCACAAGGTGGCAGCAGCAGGCCATGGTCCCACCACCCACAGGGCTTTGCATCCTGTGGGAAAACACTCCTGGGGGCCAAGCCAAGGAACAAGGAAAACTGAGGCAGGGTTGTCACCTCTTCTGGGAGATACTCTGAAAAAAGCAGAGCTCACTTGGTGTCCCATGGTAGCCTTGGGTTGACTAGCCAGTCTCCAGCCCAAGTCACAGAGAATGGCTCTAGCTAGTAGCACAGTCCTTGGGCTTTTCTATTCAGAGGGTGGGGATGACGTAGGCATGCTCCTCTGTGCCTGCAGCAGCCCCAGAGGAAAGGCCCCAGTCAGGAGTCGGGCCCCTGTCCCCAGCATGGTTCAACCACTAACCGTACCCTCTTCTGCAAAATGCGGAGACAGAAGAAAACATCTCCGTGCTATGTGAAAACAGGGAAAGGGGAGATGGCTAATACCTGGGGCCTCACCTGCACCCGGGCCCTCCTTCGTGGAACTGGGCCTCCAGGGGAAGCTGAGGCTGGGGATCACAATAGCTGGGCTGAGCAGGGCAGGGAGCACAGGGCGGGGGTGGGGGGGCTGTGGCAGTGAGACTCTCCCCTGGTCACAATGTCATGGACAGAAGGTGGACACCTTGTCCCAAGCCGGGCACATCAGATGCTCCCTTTGGGGAATTTGGAACTAAGACAAAGTAAGGACAAGTCTGCCTCCTTGAACAACTGGAAAGGTACCAAGTAACTCCCGGTGAGATTCGAGGATGGCCGGAAAAGGCTGGCTGTGAAGAGAAGAGAAAGTGGGATGCAGAACAGCAGGCCCCCCATGGTGCTCCTGGCCTAGTTCCTGTCCTGCTGAGGGAGGCACCCCAGGCCCCCTGGAGCAGGAACAGCATTCTGGACACAGTGCTGGCTCTGGGGACCCTGATACCTGTTGGCCCCTCGGAGGCAGCCTCCAGGGCTCCTTATGTCACAGGCTGGTGTGGTCTCGGGATTTGGCTTGTCTCCTTCCTCCCACAGCCCCAGGGGGACAGGAAGGGAGACCCCCCTCGCCCCCCCCGCCTGGTACTTCACAACACAGGCCGGGCCAGTGGGCTGTGGTATGTGTGTGCAGTGGCGCACTCTGCAGCCGTCAAGAATGAGCCAGCGTGACCTGTGCTGACAGACAGATGGTCACAAGAGATTGAGAACAGGCAGGTGGCAGACCGGGTCTGCTGGAGACACCAAGGCCGCTGATTCCAGAGGTTGTGCTGTCTGCCTCCAGAGTGCTCATCACATTTTCACCTTATTTACATATTTGCTATTACAGGGTACATGAATTCTTTTGTATTTAAAAAGTAATAAAAAATAAAATGTAAATACCCTCCGGGGTGGGTCTGGGAGGGTTGCCCAGTCAACTCCCAACAGAGAGGGCCCAGTGGGTGAAGGTGGGTGCTCTGGCTGTCCGTCTGGACTCTGGAGGGCTGCCATGGTGGGCCATCGTGCCCCTCTGCCAAAAGCAGGGGGACAAAGGCCTCAGCCCAGGGGGCACCCTGTTCAGAAGGGGGTTCCACCCACAGACCCCCTCACGCCCAAAGCTGGCTTCTCTCTATAGACCCCATCCCAGCGTCCACCCCTGTAAGATCCCAGGCCTGGAATTGAAACCCGGGGGTGGCCACCTGCTGCCAGGGGACCCTGCAGGCCACTGCTCTCTGAGCCTTGGTGTCCTGGTCTGTACAGCAGGACTGAACAACTCCGGCCCCTGCTCTGAGCCCAACATCCTTCTGCGCACGTGACCTGCATCTTGTCGCTGAACCCTCACAACTTCCCCATGACTATCATGATGCCCATCTGGCAGACGAGGAAACCGAGGCTCAGAGAGGGGGGCTACCACCCACAGTCCCACAGTCAGTCCCTCAGAGACCGCACCCTGGACCATCTGAGCCTCCCTGTTGTCCGAAGGATCATGTGACATGAAGCCTGTTAAGCCTTTCACTCCAGGCCTAACAGTAACACTGGACAAACAGTAGTTACCAGCAGGGCTGGGCTTGGCTCCATTCCGAAGCCATCTGAACTGGCAGCCACGTGCAGCCCCTGCCACAGAGCTCACTACGGCACCGTCAGGAGGGGAGCAGCAATCTTTTTATTTCAAACATGACGCAGAATCCTGGGGGTGCTTGGGAAAAGCAGGAACCAGGGGAAAACCATGGATGGGGCTCTCTCTAAATGGGGTATCCCTATTTCCTTTGTCCAGGAAAGGAACCCAACTCAATTCCCACCCATAGGGTGTAAAGGGGGCAGCCACTGAGAGCCCCAGAGAACAGGTGAAGAGCAGGAGGCCCAAGGCGGGGGGAGGAGGGGTAGGTAGACCCTCCATGCCCCTCAGGGAGCTGGGAGGGGAAATGGAGCCTGGGCCTCGCCCCCCAGTGTCCCAGGGCCCCAGCAGGCATCCAGTGTTAGAAGCAGAAGATGCTGGGGGGATGGAGGTGGGCAAGACACAGAATGATCCTGACCCCCACACACACACACAGCATTGCTGCCCACATGCTGGCTCAGTGACCATAGTCTGTGGCAGCCAGTGTCTTCTGCTGCATCCCAGTTCCTCCCAGCAGGGCAGCTCAGCTCACTCACTGGGGGGCCTCGGCGATGGCCTTCTCGACCCGCAGGTACCAGGGCTGGATGCGGGTGTGTTGCATCAGGTCGTCAAAGGCCTCCAGGCCCTCCATCACACGCAGCACGCCATATACTGCCTGGGGTGGGTACAGAGCGGGCCATCCAGATCCACCCCGTTACCTGCCAGCTGTGTGCCCTGGGCCCTGTCTCCTTCCCCTCTGAGAGCTCTGAGACCCGAGACCCGCTAAAGGGCTAATTGCACACGCAGGGCTTTGAATGAAGTGCGTGGAACGGCTGTAGGTTTGCCTGCCCACGCCGACACGCCCTTTCTAGGCACACTCCCCCCCACCCCCCCTCCACACCAGAGTTTCCTCTGTGACAATGCCTGCCCCCTCTCTAAGGTCCTGAGATCTCCCCATCACCCAGCTCTGAGACCTGGGCCTGCCAATCAATGTTCCACCCTGGCTGCAGCAACTGCTTCATGATGGACGTGGGGCCAGGGTTTTTGCTGGCGGGGGAAGGCTGGAGCACTGGACCAGGCCGGCCTCGGGCTAAGGCCAACTGCAAGGAGTTGAGAGGCAACACTGGTAACACCACTTGGGCCCCTGGACCCAGCCAGGCCTGAAGCCAACCCTTCCATTGAACTTGTCAGTTATGGGAACCAAGGCAGTTCCTTAAGCCCCTGACAAAAGACACAGCCAGGCACGTCTGAGGTGGGGGAGCTGGGAGATGTAGGTATTGCCTACATCTGGGCTTTTCCTACCTGGGCCTCTCTGACCCCAAAGACAGGCCCCTCAATCTGGGCACCCCCCACACACACTCACCAAGTCAGCCAGGTTCGGCTCCTGGCCCCCCATGAAGGGCCGGTCTTTGCCCACAGCTGCCACCCACTTATCGGCAGCCTCATAGAGGTCCTCACGTACGTTATCCTGGAGGTGGTGCCTGGGCAGGGAATGAGAGGAGTCCATCAGGGGACTCCTACCCCAGCCGAGGTGGGGACAGAGGGAAGGCTGTCGTACATACACACACACACGCACGTCATCACCTGCTCTTGAGCCGCTTGCTGATGAGGTACATGGCAGCTGCACCCAGGTACTTCGCCATAGCGCCCTCCACGGCCCCAAACTTGCCCTCCCTGACAATGTAGTCGAAGGAGGCCAAGGCCTCGGCAGGCGTGCGGTACACGTTGGGGGAAATCAGGTGCACCAGCCAGTCGTCTGCCCACTGCCGCCACTTCATCTCCTCCCTGTGGACAAGCAGGGGACAGAGGGTGGGCCAGGTGGGTTTCCTAAGCTGGGGCCTGGGACGTGGGGGAGCAGACCCACTATCTAGCTGTCCCCGTGTGCAGATGGGAAGCTGAGGCCTAAGCAGCAGGTCCTGACGGAGACTCAGCCCGGCCTGTGGCTCGGCCCCAGCCCCTGTGGTTTCCCACGCTGCTTCCCCGTAACATCGTCTCTCAGCCCGGTCCTCTCTGGGGAAGACCCCCGCCCTCGTCACCTCCCCGAGGCCGGCCCAGCCCCACTCACGTCCTGGCCTCCTTCCCACCATACATTCGCTGGGCCTCCTTCTCGTCTAGCATGAGCCAGTACTTGTTGCAGAATTCGGTCACCTCCTTGCCCTGGTCATTCATGGCCTTCATGGGCGGATAGTAGGTGATGATGTCTTCCAGGGGCTGCCTTTGGGAGACATCCAGAGTCTCACCCCAACTCCCTCCTCCAGGAGACTGAACCCTCACCTTCTTAGGACGAATATCCCCCTCCAGCCTGACCAAGCCCGGGGGTGGAGCCAGGACCCAACCATAAAAGCTTTCCACCCTCTTATAGGTGACACAGGAGGTCCTGCAGCAAGAGGGACTTGGGGCAGACACCAGGAGCACTTCCCTGACAGAGGGAGATGTGCAGAGGAGAGGAAGCGGGGAGTCTCAGAGCAGCACACCCACGGCCCATTCTGGAAATGTGAACAACAGCCCCAGCCCGCTCCCCATACACAAACTCAGGCGAGGCCTCCTCGGAGATAGGAGGGACAACTTGTGACGCCTGCCTGGGCCTCCGAGGGGCTCCTTACCCCGACACCAGGTAGGTCTTAAGGGCACTGATGATGACAGAAGAGTCGTTCAGTTGTTGCTGGAGGAGAAGAGGTTGGTTTACATCATAGGTGGGGGTCAGGAGCTGGCTGGCCCTGGCAGGATCGCAGGGGCCACTAACACCACCAGTGCCCAGGCATTCCACAGCAACCGGTCCGGTGGAACCGGGGCACTGTTTATCCACCCCTGGGGGCTTACCCCTAAAACCAATGCCCACTGAGCTCTCCCCTCTCCCCGGGATACACTCCCCACTCTCAGGATGGCCTGTCATAAGGGCCCAAGTGTGGCTAATGGGGAGGAGGGTCTGGGCCCTGCCCACCCCACCCACCTGGCCTTGTGAGTGCCGAGGGGCAGGGTGGACTCCAGAAGCTACATACTAGGAGCCAAGCACTGTCCCAGGCATTCCCTACAACCCAGAGAGTGTGGTCCTCTGTTAATTAATGAAGAAGCAAGCCCAGAGAGCCTACGTGACTGGTGTCAAGTCACACAGCCAGAGGGTCAAAGCCACACCTTGAACCCGGACTACCCTGATTTCAGAACTCACATTGTTAAGCTCTGTGGTGCTCTGCCTCCCTTAGACCAGGCTGGTGTTTGGTATTGGTGGGAAAGGAAGGCAGCCTATATTTACTGAGTATCTACTGTATGCCAGCTATTTTCCCTTCCAGGGCTGCAGAGCACAGCCTGACTCGGGGGTACTCCAGGACAACCCGGGACATGGCGGGGGCTCCGAAGCTCACCAAACTGTCTCCTTCCTGGGCCAGCAGGATGGGCACCTTCCTGTAGGAGGAGAACTTGATCTCGGCCCTACGCACGGGGTTCACCTCCACCACCTGGTAGGGCAGGGCATGGAAGTCCAGGAAGGCGCGGACCTTGCTGCAGAAGGGACATGTTTTGTACTGGTACAGGGTCAGCTGCAGGCGGCCAGACAGGGTGAGCTGGGTGGGGAGCAGAGGGAGGGGGGCTTCTGAGGCCTGGTACCCAGGGCTGCCCCTAAACCCAGGCCCTGCCCCCAAGCAAACTTGTTTCCTAGGGGAGTCTTCTAAGATGACCCTGAGAACATTGGGAGGAATGGGGATGGGGAGGTGGAAAGCCCAGGCTCAGCCCCCATCCTGAGGGCTCCCAGGCAGGAAGTCTGTGTAGGAGAAATCTGATCTCTGTCCTACACTAGACAAAAACCTCTCCTCTTCCTCCTGTCCCAAAGGGACACCAGATACCCCCAGGTGTGCCCTCCCAGACGCAGAGCAACCGTTTCAACTCAGAGTGCCCATCCCCAGTCCCCCAACCCCAGGGACTTCTAGGTGAGGGGAACAGAACAACCCAGCCAGTAGCCCAGTGATGGCCACAGTGGGGTCTGCCTCAAATCTCCAAGGGGGTAGGGTAGCATCTGGGCCATGGGCCTGGATCCTGGCTTTGTTTTTCAGCAGGAAAGCCCCAAGTGAGCTTGCTGCATATTCATGTTTGACAAGTCACCACTGCAGTCCACCACCCTCAATGTTCAGGTGGGAAACAGGCTGGACCCGTGGAGGTGGGCGGGGAGATACAGAGAACTCCACCCACCCGTTACCCTGGGTCCAGAAAAAGGCACCTGTGGGTGAGTGGCGGGATCCTAGCAGAGTAAGGCTGTGCTCATGCTGTGTATAAAGCATTTCAAGGGCAGCTGGGCCACCCCTCTGGCTCGAGGGGCACTTCTCTGTCCCTCCCTGTCTCAAGGCCTGCAGTCCAAGGGTCATCGGTTGCATAAAAATACTACTAATAAATAAATACACAACCTTAGGATTTAGGGATGATGCGAGGGGCTCGACAAAAATGTTTGGAAAGTGATACACTGAAAGAGGCTTTCCCTTTTCTGTGCTCTCCAAATCTTCCCAAAGTCTTGAACCAAGTTACAAAAACGCCTTTAAGAGAAAGATAACAATTCTAGTTAGCGGGCATCAGTAGCACCCCCATTTCACAGATGAGGACGCTGAGAGAACGGAGACAAAACCAAGGCACTCTCCCAAGGTCACCGGCGGACCGAGGAGGCGTTTCCTGACCCTGCCGCTTGCTAGATGTCCCGCAGTTCGGAGCTGACACCACAGCCCCTTCCAGCAGCTCGGTCCAGCTCAGGCTTACCTGCGCGGCTGAGCACTTGGCGCGGAGATCCTGCGCATGCAGGTGCCACCGCGCCGTGTAGTACAGCCCCATCGCGCCTCCCAGGGCCAGCGCCGCCGCCCCCAGGAGCCGCGGGTTTCCCTTGCGGGCGGTGGCAGCAGGGCCCGGGCCTCCTGCCGCCCCCGCAAAGCCGGTCCGGCTCTGTGCGGGGAGACCCTGCACGAGGCGACCACCCAGCCTCCAGGCCAGAGCGCGCCCGCCTGGCCACAACGCCCGTGCAGCCTGGGCCATGTTCGCTCTACCGGCTCCGCGGGCGGGCGCGCGAAACGAAGAAGGTCGGACTTAGGCTTCCCTTAAAGGGCAGGGTCTCTCGCGCCCGGCGGGTTGCCAGGGGTGACAATGACGCCGCGCGGGGAGTGGGGTACTGCCCTCTCCGTTTTGGGCGTGCTTACCCGGCGCCCAGCTTTCATACACCTGGCATCACCGCACCGGGGATGTCTAGGAGTCACTAAATGCTCTTGCTTCTGAACATGTAGACCTAATAAGTCTCGGTGGTGACCCGGGCCGAGAATGCAAGGAATGCCTAGGTACTAGTCCCGGCTGGGCCACGTAGCTCCCTGTGTGGCCTTTGAGACCCATTGTGGTTCGTAATAAGTGGTTAGTAATTTCTACTTCATGCACCCAAATGAAAGAGGCTGAACGCTTCGGAGTGTGAGGGAAAGGGTCATGGCTTCGGATCCTTAAAGGCGGCGGAAACGACCGTGGGAAGGTGCCAGCCAGTCGCCTTCTTTCTGCCCTCCCGCACCGCTGCACCATTTCTCCTATGACCCGAACCATAAAAACTTCTCTACACATTGGGGACCTTAGAAGCCACGTGTTTCCGATTTCGCCCAGCGGAGGCTCAGGTTCGCCCACCCGCAGGTACCTATCGGTAGGATGGGGCAAAATGGGGGTCCCACGCTGCCCCCCGGCCCTCTGCAGGGCTCGCTACGCTATTCCGAGCTGAAGGCCCGAGCCTCCACCACCTAGGCTTCTCGGAGGGCAGCCCGGGAATGGCCCCGCCCAGCGGCCGGGAGAGGGGCGGGGCTCAGAGAGTGGGCGGAGGTCTGAAGGCGAAACAGATTGTGGACTGGACAGGGGGCGGAGTTCTGCTGGAGAAGAGGATTGCGTTGATGGATTCAAGAGCATTTATATACCTCAAAACTTATCAAATTGCTCAAAAACCGCAATGAAAGGAGCATGTCAAAAGGTCCTGGGATCTCTCAGTGGCCAAAGCTGGAACAATCTGAGCAACAAAATAAATGAGTTTTGGATTATACCCGAAGTATAAAATAAATATCCATGCGCCCATTCTGATACAAATAAATGATTGAAGTAATAAATAAATGGGGGTGGGTGGCTGGGTTGGCTCAGTTGGCTCAGTTGGTTAGAGCGCAGTGCCCATAACACCAAGGTTACTGGTTCGATCCCCACATGGGCCACTGAGTTGCGCCCTCCACAACTAGAGTGAAACAACTGCTTGCCTCAGAGCTGATGGGTCCTGGAAAAACACACTGTTCCCCAATAAAATTTTAAAAATAAATAAGGAGAAGAGAAATCTCTCATGCAGAAGAATTCCAAATAATTTATGTAGACACCCTGCCCTCTAGGAGATGGAGCAAAACTCCCTCTCCGTAGGTGCGGGCTGTGGAGGGTGACTTCCTTCCCAAGGAGACAGTTTGCAAAGGGAAAAGAAGAGTAACCTTACAGTGGAGACACCTGACAACACACCTCAGCCAGGTGATCAAGGTCAACATCAGCACTGATCAGACATGTGATTAGTATGTGGTCTTCCTCGTAAAACCCATAAGCTCAGTCTAATCATGAGAGAAACTCCTGACAGTCCCAATAGAAGGATATTCTACTAAATATCTGAGCAGTACTCAAAATTGTCAAGGAAAGTCATCAAAACTAAGGAAAATCTGAGAAACTGTCATGAGCCCAGAGGAGCCTAGGGACATGAGGACAAAATGTAACATGGTATCCTAGATAGCATCCTGGAACAGGAAAAGGAGATTATCTGAACACTAAAGAAATCGGAATAATTTATGGGCTTTAGTTAATAATAATGTCTCACTGGTAATTCGTAAATTGTAACAAATGTACCATACTAATATAAGATGTTAATAATAAGGGAATCCCAGGGTATATGGGAACTCTGCAAACTATTTTCATAATTTTTCTATAAATCTAAAACTTTTTTTAAGGGTTTTTGTTTGTTTAATACATCTGAAAAGAATGCATATACAAAGAATTGAGACATGAGAAAGCATTGGTTCAACATTAATGAATCTATAAGAAATAGGATTTGGGGAAGGTGGAGATGATTACCTAAACATTTTTAAAAACTGGAAACTGCACCAAAATAAGCTCATAAAATCCCTATTAACACTTATGAAGAGTCTTCATAAGACTCTCCCGTGACTTTTATTAAACTAGAGAGCCCCAATTGGCTGCTCTAGAGTTCCTCATGCAAAACAGAAATAAGGGGATTCCCCTGTGCCGGGGTCCTGCCTCTGCGTTCCAGAAGAACAGTTCCTGAAGTGGGGGGGGGGGGGGGGGGGGGGGGGGGGGGGCGAGGTTTAAGGAAACAAAGAGACAAAGAGACAAAAGGGGGTCCGGGAGGACACCAGTAAATACTGAAGCCCCGAGTTTATTTCCCACCACCAATATATGCATCCAGAGTACTGCAAAACGACAGGGACAACTATGCATTACCTCACACAAAAGCAGATCACTAACCATCTACTGGAGACTTAAAGATCAGAGGGACCTTAAGGGATCAGTTTCCCAGGACACTTTCTTCCATTAACCCAGATAGCCATCTATCTATAGTGTCTCCTAAGGAACCGGCCATTCTCACCACATGCCTCAGCTTTCAGTAAGCACTCTCCAGGTGCAGAACAAACAAAAAAAGAAGCAAAACAATTTAAGCTTCACCAAAGCCAGTCTGCATGGCTCCCAACACCCCTGACTGGTCCCCATGTTAAATGTTTTCCCCACCCCCACCCCACCCCTAGCTTCTTAATGAAGCAGGTCTCCATCCTCATAACTTGAAAGAGGATGTGAATCATTCCACAGACATCTGTCTTCTAGCACCACCCCTCATATATACCAGGTCTTCAGCTGTGTTCTAGGAACACCATATCATACACCATTAAGCTGCACTTCTATGCTGAGCCTGTAAGACAATGACTGACAGGGAAAAAAACTGTGTTGTTTTTTTTAAATTATGTACTCAATCTATTTGGTGCATTTCAAAGGTGCAATACTTTTCTTCATTTTATCAGTAAAAGAAGTTAAAAATTAACTTCACAAAAAAAATCAGCAAATGGCTAACAAATTTCCTTGAAAGTCAGTCACATATATAGCGCATCCTAGAAAAGAGGCGGGGCAAGACAGGTTCCACCCACTCTCATAAGTTTCATCAAATACTGGACCTACTCAAGGGTGGAGAGAAAAGGCAACTTTCAAAAAGGAGTATGTTATTAAATGAGGCATTTACTATACTCCTTCCTAAGAGCACCAGGTGGGGAACATGTTTTCTAAACGAGATCAAGGAAGTGGAATGTGAATCACTCCATCCTCCTCCCCCTTAAGGGCTGTCTAATGGTTAATGAATTTTT